GCATAACTTCGTATAGCATTCATTATACGAAGTTATACGAACCCTTGACCTTGGTGTTATTATATCGCGCTCTGAGCTAATCGGTCAGCCTAAAGCACTATGGCAAGTATTTTACTTTATTTTTTATTTTGTTGTTACGGCTGGCCAACAGGGGCATTGGAACCCATGACCTTGGTGGTACAAGGCTGTGCTCTAACTAACTGAGCTAAGTGGCCAGCCCTTACCTTGCCCCTCTGAGCTCTGTAAAATGGGGCATAATAGCACCCATCCCAAAGAGTATGGTACCTGGCACACGTTGTATCTGTGCAAGAGAAAGTAGTTACTAGCACCATCACCCCATCAGCACCATCAGTAAACGCTTATACAGGGTAATACTAAGTGCTTTACTTATATATATTCATACAGTCCTTACAGCAATGTTATTGTGTGGGCATTAGTATCATCCCCATTTTACATATGAAGAAATGGAAAGGTAGAAAGGCTAGCTCAAGGTCACCTAGCTAGCAAGGGTCAGCCCTGGGATTTGAACCCAGGCGGTCTGGGATGAGGATCTGTGCTCTTTCCAACGTACTATTATTAGCATTCTCAGCCCAGTGGTAGCACTTAGGATTTGTGGGTGAAGAGTGACTTTGCAGAGAACCGAGGGAGCGTCCTCTGCCTCCTCTAGGAGAGACTTGGTGACAGGGCACCCAGGCGTTTGGGCTGGAGAGGAGTCAGAGAAAATGGTTTAATGGAGAGGATTCCCTTCTGACTGCAGTCTGCCCAGGGAGGAGAGGTATTGAGCTCACCTGGAGTCTGTGAAAGAGAAAAATTCAGACTTCTTGGGGACTGTATTAGTTGGCTTGGGCTGCACTAAGAAGACACCACAGACTGGGTGGCATAAACAACAGAAATTTATTTCTCACAGTTCTGGAGATTGGTAGTCCAAGATCAAGGTACCAGCAGGACTGGTTTCTGGTGAGGCCTCTCTTCCTGGCTTGCAGATGGCCATCTTCTTGCTGTGTCCTCAAGTGGTCTTCTGTGTGCTGCGTGGAGAGAGATATCTCTCATGTTTCTTCCTCATCCTATGAAGACACAAGTCTCATCAGATCAGGGCCCCACCCTTATGACCTTATTTAACCTTAATTACCTTCCTAAAGGCCCTATCTCCAAATACAGCCACATTGGGGATTAGGGCTGCAACATATGAATTTTGGGGGGACACAATTCAGTCTATAGCAGGGACCAAGGCCAAGGACATAGAGTTATTCAGCCCAAGGAAACTTAGTAGAACATTCTCCAAACCTAGACAAAGTCACTGTCTGACTTTCCTCTGTTCATACATTTTCTGCTCATCCTGAGTGCCTCCTGTGGGCCCTTGGAAAACAGTGATCAGTGAGACACCTTGTCCATATCAAGCTCTCGTTCTAGTGTGGTCACAGTTAGAAAGCTGTGGGTGCGTGTGCTGTACTGGGGGTGGTGGACTTGAGGAGCCCAGAGGGGACCTCTGACCCAGACATGGGAGGATCAGGAAGGCTTTCTGGAGAATGTGATGCTTGTTCTGAAACCTGCAGCGTAGGTGTTGAGTGGTAGAGATTGGGCATCTGTTCCAGGGAGAGGAAACAAGGTTCCCAAGGGCTGCAGTGAGAGGGAGCATCACTGGCTCAAGGAGCCGCCTGTCACCGAGTGTGGCTGGAAGATAAGATGTGAACAAGGGATCAGAGAGAGATGAGGCTGGCCCAGGCCAGAGGGAGGTGGGCCTTGTCAGCCAGCGTAAGGAGTTTGGACCTTATTTACATGGCAGAGGGGAGCCATTGGGGAGTTTTTAAATAGGACAGGGACATGGCTAGCTGTGTTTTTTTTAAGGAAAGATCATTCTGACTGCTCTGTGGAGAATAGATCAAAGGAGATGAGTTAGGAGTAGCTGCTTTAATATTTTAGGAGGGGTTGGAGAGAACTTGAATAAGAAGTTTCAGTGGAGATGTAGAGGAGGCCATGGCTCTGAGAGCTGTTTGCGGGGTAGAATCCATAAAACTTGGTGACATTTCAGGTGAGCGAGGGCAGTAGGGACTGATGATGCCTGGGTTTGGGCCCGTGTGACTGTGTGTGTGGCAGGGCCGCTGGCTGAGGTGGAGTAGTAGTAGGAGCCATGTAGGGAGTAGGGTAGGAGGTGACTGTCCTCTAGCCTCTGGTCAGCTTGCTGGGCCTGGGAGTGGGGTTGGGATCCAGGACTCTTCTGAGGAAGTGCCGAGTGGCCACAGCAGGCTGCGGCTCCCCGAGAGCCAGCAGAGGCTTGGGGCAAGCTGAGCCCACCCCTCCTGCAGACCGTCATCGACATCTTGGAGTGGTCGAACAAGAAGAGGCTGCAGCAGTTGAAGTGTGAGCTTCAGGAGTGGGAAGAGAAGGAGAAGCTCAAGATGAGCTGTAAGAATCCCTGTGGTGAACTCCTAGACCCTCAGCCTGGCCCTTTGGGGAGGTCAGCAAGGGTATTTACCTTGCACTTGCCTTTCAGAAGCCGACAGGCCCACTGTCTCCCCTCTAGGCAGATGGAATTGCTAAGATGCAGAGTCATAGCTTACTTACCGAGCACTTCGCAGGCCTGTGTGTCTGCCTTTTTGTGGTCACGCTCTCACTTCACCATTACAACCACCTGTGAGGCTGGGACTGTTCTCCCATTTTATAGATGAGGAAATGGAGACTGAGAAGTGAACCAGCTTGCTGAAGGTTATGCAGCTGGGAACCAGAATGGAATCCTAGCCTGTCTGTGTCTCCTCCAAGATTGCATTGGGAGTCAGTGGCTGGGCCAGGACCCAGGTCTCCTGGCTTCCATCCTGCCGGGCCTGTAGTTTCTTTCTCCTGAGCAGACTGGAGGCCTTCTGAGGGGAGGGGTGGTATGTCAGGCAGCCTCAGACATCGGGGACCTCCTCCATGGAGGAAGGCAGGATAAACTTTGTCCAGAGAGGAACGGTCTTGGCGAGGGCCATGCAGCAAGGCGGAGGCAGGGCTGGGACTAGTCTGGGGATCTTGCACTGATTTCACTTCTTCCTACCCAGCATTGCCTCTGCTCCTGCAGGGGCTTAACTCTTTACCATGTCACAGCCTTGTGTGAGCCCGCCTCAGCCCAGACCCCAATCCGTTAGCCGAGGAGAGCTTGCCTCCCGGGCCTCCTGGGAGGTGTCAGGAGGGAAGGTCCTGCCTCCTGTCCCTCTTGACCTCCTTGTCCCTCCCAGTCCTGGAGCAGCAGGTGGAGCAGCTGAATGCCAGGATCCAGAAGACCCACGAGGAGGTGAACTTCCTGAGCACTTACATGGACCACGAGTATCCCGTCAAGTCAGTCCAGATTGCCAGCCTCATGCGCCAGCTGCAGCAGGTGAAGGACAGCCAGCAGGTAGGAGCGCGCCTGGCCCTGCTCCACTGGTCCATGTGGGAGGGAGGCAGGGCTGGTGGCCAACACCCTCTGCTGGCCCCCAGGATGAGCTGGACGATCTTAGTGAGATGCGTCGCATGGTCCTGGAGTGTATGTCCAAAAAAATTGAGCAGCAGCAGAAGAAAGTTCTGAGGTCTCTGGTGGTGGTGAGTAGCCAGCTGCCATGGTGGGGAGCCAGGTCCTTCCTGCAGCCCTGCGCTCTTCCCTGCCCTCTGCCTCCAGGCCCCCTGTACCCCTCCAGCCTTTACCAGTCACTGCTGCTTAGGAAGAGGCACCTGGGGGCCAGACCTCTCCTTCCTCCACAGAAAACCCAGCAACCCCATCAGGAGGCTCTTGTACAGAAGACCCGGGAGAGCCAGGACCTGCTGAAATGCATTCACAGGTTCAGAGATGTGAGTGGGCAGGGAAGGTGCCTGTCCCTCTGCGAGGGTGCAGGGGTGGGTGATCCCTGGGGCTGGTGGGAGTCAGGCTCATCCTGGTCTGATGCTCAGGAGGTCTCCAGCCCTGGTGTTGGCCTTCCTCTTCCCCAGGGCCATTACTGCCACTCGTCATTCATCTGGGAAGGGGATTAGTGCTGGCCTAGGCCTTGCCTCTAGGCAACATTGCTGGCCATGACCTGTTAGTGACATCATCAAGCGTCACCTACTCAACCACTGAGCACCGCCCACCTTCACCCCTTAATTCCTGTCATTGACCATTCACCTGTTATCAGTGTTAATGAGCTTCACCATTACCACCCCTCAAATTAATTTTTATAATCTTGCACCTTCACTAGTTTTCGATGTGAGTGCCCTCCGCCATCACTGCCAGCCCCTGTTAATTCTTTTGTTTTTTTTGGCTGTTGGCAACTACGGGGATACGAACCCTTGACCTTGGTGTTATCAACATGGTGTTCTAACCAGCTGAGCTGGTTAATTCAGATGGTCAAGCAGTCCCACCCCTTTGCACCCTGTCTCCACTCTCCACAACCCCATCCCCTGTTATAGCATCATCGAACATTGTCACTAACTTGTGATCCAGCCCTGCCCTGCACGGGGAGGCCCCCTTTCTGGAGTCCAGCCAGTCCCAGTGGCTGGCCCATACCATTTCCCTGGATATCTTTGCTTCTTGTCCATTTCGCTGTTTTCTCCTTTTAGTCCGGGGACATTTGGTTTCTCACCGCTTCCCGGCTGTGCCTCTCCCCTCAGTTTATCGTCCAGTTTGAGGAGGAAATTCCTATATTAAGAGCCGAGGTGGAAGAGCTCCAAGCCCAGCTCCAGGATCCCCGAGAGGTCATATTTGAGGATGTTTTACTTCGGAGACCCAAGTATGTGATCTTTTTGCAGCTGCCTCTTAGCCAGGCCATGTTGTGGGCTCAAAGAGCCTCTCTGTTCTCAGAGACGGCAGCCTGGGGTACATGGCAGAACACTGTATGGGGTGAACGTCCTGGGTTTCCACCTCAGCTCTGCCACTGAACATAAGCAGACGTGACCTTTCCCATCTGTACTCTTCAGTTTTCCATCTGTAAACAGCAGGCTGGGTTAGGTGGTCTCTAAAGACCCTTCCAGTTCCCACATTCTTTGTGTCAATTAAGTGGGTGTACCCTCCACTTTTGGGTTGTTGACTGGGGAGGTTGGCTCCAGCGAAGAGTGGCCTAGAAGACACATCACAAGAAGGGAAGGATGTCCTCTCTGCTTGGCAGGCTTCTGGGTCCAAAGTGAAGGTCTTGCTTCCTTCCAAAACCAATTCTTTGCCCGCTCTCCCGTCGAAGTTTCTCTGTGGTGGGGCTGGGTGCCCCTAGGCCAGGCCTCTCCATGATGGCACCCCAGGGCTCTGTGTGGCAGAGCCTGGCATTTGAGAATTTAATTTTTCTTCTTGATCTCTGTGTCTGTTTCCTCCTCCTCCTATCCTTTTCTATCTCCTCTCCTACCTCCTTCCCTTCCTTGTCTTCTTAAATAGAAAAAAAAACACTATTTAGTTTTTAAAGTGCCTACGAAGTGCCAGGCACCAAGTGAATGAAAATGCCCCGGGGAGCCCAGCAGGGGACCAAACATTGATAACGAGCTACAAATAAATGTAAAGTTGCAGCTGAGTCCAGAGCTGCTGAGGAGAGGTACATGGCACCAAGAGAGTGTGTCCCAGGACAGTGAGTCTGGGGCCATCAAGGAAGATTTCCCCGAGGACTAAGGTCTTCAGGATACATAGAAGTTCACTAGGCCAAGGGGCTAAAGGGGGAGCAGAAGGAAGAATGATTCTGGGTGGCCGTGTGGGATCTCTGGGACATGGAGTAAGTGGGCATCCATTGTCCTTACCTGGGCTCCGAACGCATTGCAGTAAGACTGAAAGGGGTAAGGCAGACATGGGCCAGATTTTCTCTTATTCTGGTAAAGTTGATTTTAGAGAATGTAGCTTTTATCTCTAGGCTTGTTGGCTTCTGAATACGGAACCCAGAATTAGGCAAATGGAGCCGCTAGGTCATGGTGCAGCTGGAGCTGGTGGAGCCAGCCCTTGGAGCAGAGGAGAGTGTATTTCTTGTGGTCTACTCGTTGCTGAGAAAGGAAGGGCCCGGGCTGCCCATACCCACTCCTCTGCAGACTCATCATTCAGAGAGTCTGCTCCCCTTTCCAGGAGCAGAGTGAGGACAGGGGCAAAGAGGCCAGGAGCAGAATGCTCCTCGATGCATTTCCACATGGAAGGAAGCAGTGGGAGTGGGTAAGCAGCTTTGTCGTCGGCACACTGCTAAACAGAACTTCTGCAGCTAGAACATGCATGGGAACCTCCTAGAGATCTTGTTAGAAAGCAGTTTCTAAACAGCAGGAGTGGCACACTGCTAAGCAGAACTTCTGCAGCTAGAACATGCATGGGAACCTCCTAGAGATCTTGTTAGAAAGCAGTTTCCAAAGCAGTAGGTCTGGAGTGGGGCTCAACGTTCTGCAGTTCTGAGAAGCTCCTGGGTGATGCTGCTGCTGGTCGATGGACAGCGTGTTGAGCGGTGAGGCTGTAAAGGATCCGTGATAGGAAGGAACTTGTATTTACATGGAGCTGAGGAGGCTAGTGTGTCTGGAATGCAGTGACGGAGAAAGCAGGCAGCTCAGTCCCTAGGGACCTCCATGCAGTGCCCTGTAGGCCAGGGTTTTGCACTTGATTCTGAAAGCAAAGGATTTTAAGGTGAGTGGTGACGTGATCAGATTTGGATTCCAGAAAAGTCATCTTGTAAAGAGCATGGGGATGAAATTGGAGAAGAGCCAGAGTGGGAGCTGGAAGTCCAGTGGATGTGGTGGCAGTTGTCCAGGGGAGCATTGGGAGTGGCCTGGCCAAGTGGGTGGCAGGAAAGATGAGAGCAATAGGTGGGTTGGACAAATATTTAAAAAGATAAGTCTATAGGAATTGGTGATGTTTGGATGTGGGAAGTACAGGACATGGAGGTGTCAAAAATAACCCCTAGGTTCCTGGGTTTTGTAACAGGGTGGGTGGTGGTGCCACATCCAGAGATAGAGAAGACTGGGGACGGGTGGGGGATGCAGATGCAGGTGGAGTCAAGAGTTGACTTGGATGGGAAATTTGATTATGTGAGACATCGATGTGAAGCCATGAGGTAGAAAGTTGAGTAGAACTCAGAGGAGAAATAGTGGCTGGAGATATTTGGGTGTTGCCAGTATAGAGATGCGCTGTTTAAAAATTATTACTATGAAAAATTTGAAATATGCAGAAAAATAGTGAGAATATAGTGAATACTCAGTTGCTCATCTAGATTTAGAAGTTGTTATATTTTTGCCGTGTTGGCTTTATCTTCATTCATTCATGTTTGTTTGTTTTCTTAAGTATTGTAAATTGCAGACATCCTGACACTTCATGCCTAAAAACTGTGCGCATAAGTAGATTATTGAAACCGTGAGAATGGAGGATCTCCCTGGGAGAGAGTGGAGAGAGAATGTAATCGTGCAGCCTCTTAAATGTTTGTTTTGGTCACTGACACGGGGAATTATTGCTGATGGGAACCCATGTTTCTTGCTACTTTCATGGAAAGACTAATCCCTGTCACTTGCTGAACTTATTTAATTCTCATTTAATCCTCCCACCAATGACTGGAGGATGGAATTATTACCCCCATTTGACAGATGAGGAAACTGAGGCTTGCCTGGGGTCTGGCACATAGTGAGTGTGTGTCCCATAGGCGCTGCCTGAAGGAGTGAGGCTCAGAGAGGAGAAATAGCTTGCTGGAGGTGACCCAGAACCAAGTTTCCAAACTGGCCATCCTGACTCCAGAGAGAGTGATGGTCCTGAGGGTCCTGAGCATTTCAGAGCTGAGTGTCTGTGCCCTCTTGACTACAGACCTCTTAGGGGAACATTAGTCCTGCCAGACTAATTTCTGTTCCACTTTTCATGTTTCTGTTTGTACGTGTGTGTGTTGTGCATGCACGTGCGTGTACACAGGGTGTGTTTTGGGATGGTAAGTACCGTTAAGTACCAGTGTTGTAAAGAGCAGGGCTCCCCTAACTCTGGCGCCCCTGTGGGCCTCTCACACCCCTCTTTGCTGCTTCCTACCAGGTGCACCCCAGACATGGACATCATCCTCAACATCCCTGTGGAAGAGCCGCTACCCTTCTAGATGGCAGAGCCGTGGGCCGCCCCTCCCTGCCTGGTCTCTTCCCAGCACCTGCAGCCTGGAGTCATTTGCTTCTCAGACAGTGTCTTCATTCAGACCCTGATGCACAGTTCTTCCATCCTTCCCTCCCTCCTGTCTAGTTTTTTTTTTTTTCTCTCTCCTTCACTTCTTTCTGGTTGATGTTGCTGCTTAGACCAGGTTGGAATTCCCAGTTAAATCTGCTGTTCCTTTTTACCAATAAAGCTGGATTTGCATTTGCTTTTTGCTGGTATCTGGGGGTCCCCAGCTAGGTCTTGCAGAAGATGTGGTAGGAATGGACTTTGTCCTGAGATAAGAGGTGGGCAGCTGTGCTGGCTGCGTCTGGGGCTCAAAAGTTCTCCAGAAAAAGTGCTGCAGTGACCCCCTGCCCAAATCTCCATGGCTCTGTGGCCCTGGGCCCCTCCTGGTGCAGCAGGAACCCAGCTTCCCTTCCAGTTTGTGCTCAGACCTGTTGAGGCCAGTGCCAGGGCAGAGGGGGAACTTCTTGAGATTAATACACCTGGGAACTTGCTGGGCCTTTCACTGATGGCCATTTCTCTCTTAGTCCAGCCGTCAACCTGTCCACTACGTCTACCCCAACTTCACATGGACATGAGCACAAATTCCTGCTGTGCATAGCTGCATATTTATGTGCAGCTCTGCACTCCAGTCTTCTGTGGTGGACTTAGAGATGTGCTTTGCCCAGATCCTCCTTCAATCAAGGACATGAAGGTGCTGTTGGCAGGTATCCTTCAGCAGTCAGACCCTTCAGGGATTGCCTCAGCTTCGGAGAGCCGTGCAACCAAGGTAAAGTCCCTTCCCACATCCAATGTCTGCTGGATATGTAAGTATTAAAGGCCCAGGCATCTTGGTCCAACTTGGATCAAGTGAAGGGCTATTGTGGCTCCAAACCGCCCCCCCCGCAGTGGAGGCTGAAACTGCCCTTAGGCCTGCACTGAGGCTTGGCTTCTGCCCAATCCTGTGTATTTCCCCTGCCCCTTTCCTCGGTTGTCAGTTCCAAGGGCACTCATTAGTAAGTGTTGTGCACTCTGCAGTCCATCCAGAGTTGGCTTCCCTGGAGACCCAGACTGCTCCAGTTGCCAGGGGACTCTGGCCTCTCAGTGGTCCACTTTATGTGTTAGGAGACTTGGTTATAAGTAACAGAACAGCCAACTCAAATTGTCCTAATCAAGAAGGGGCTTAGGTAAAGTAGTAGTCCAGGTGAGGCTTTATCCAGAAACCCAGTGATGGCACCAGGACCCAGTTGCTCTCTCTCTACTTTGTCCTCTTCTAAGGTCAGCACTGCTGTGGCTCCCAGGAACCAGCATCTGTGGGTTTACCTGCCTGCTTGTACATGACCTGCTGGAAAGAGAGTACTCTGTCCTGGAGTTTTCAGCCACAGTCTCAAGATTCACTATGACTGGATGGCTTATATCACATGCCCACCTTGAGCCAGCCTTGCATGTGGAGAGTGCGTGTTGCTTTAGTCCAGATCACGTGCTGTACCTTGGAGTAGGTGAAGGGGTGGTTGGGGAGGAGCACGTGACCTTGGTTAAGCCGGTGGCTACTCTCCAGAGCCATATGCATCTCCAGACAGCAGTGGACAATGTTGAACATAAAAGGAACCACTTAAGTAGAACTTACTTTATGCTTCATGTCTGTTAACTTGTTAAATCCTCATAAGAACAACCCTATGAGGTAGGTATTGCTATCGTTTCATTTTACAAGTGAAGAAACCAAAGCATGAAAAGATAAAGCAGTTTTTCTAAAATCACCAGGGTAGTAAGTGGTGGAGGCCATTTGCTCTTAATCCCTCGCCTTTCAGGTGCTTGGCTGAACTGGAGAGAGCTGAGCTGCCAGGTGATGCATTAGCTGATTAAGACAAGTTGAAATGAAAGTAAGAAGCCAAGCTCTTCATTGCTTCCTGTGATAGTACAAGGAAGAGGCTAAACCAGAGAACATCCACCCTGTTCCATTTCCCCGTGGAATGGCACCATCCAGGGTCAGGTGGATCAGCACAGATGTAGAAAAGATCTCACTGCCAAGGAGCTACAAACAAAAGAATGCTGCAGTTTTATGGACCTGGGGGCCAGGGGTGGGTTTGGGTGGGGTGGGGAAGGGAGAGTGGGAAAAGTAAAGTCCTGAGTCAACATGGAGAAAAGTGTCTTGAGGGTTTCCCCCTGTCCCCCTGATAAAGAGGTCTTGGAGAGGCACCTGAGGTCTTGGCCAAAGGGTCCCAATAAAGAAGTGTCTGAATGAAGACCTGAGCTAGGGATGCAGGTGTGTGTGAGCGCTAGGCTGGCTGTGGGGCCTGAGTCCTTCACTACAACGCTCTTCAGAGACTACAGTGCACTGGCTGTGCATAAGTCAGGTGTGGGAAGGGCAGCTTTCCCCCAGGAGGCCTGCCTAAAGCCTTTGTAATTGCCCAAGGTTTGCCTGAAAATCACACGTAGTTTCTTAGTCAGGAGCTGGACTCCTTATGGGAAGGGACACAGGAGTTCTGAGGAAAACCAAGAAACAAAACCTGAACATGCAGATCCCCTCATGTTGCACACAGCCAGCATGCCTCCAGATGTGACACAGAGTAACCCCATGCATGTACACGGATCTTTTCCCACTTAGGACTGCACGTGGGTCAACCCTCACATGTAGACATACCTTCATGCGTGTGCACATGGGTAATTAATATTCATTAGTTAAATAGAACTGTCTTAATAAATAAGGGATGCCCAATATCATGTCTTATCAGGAATTCTCTTTATTAGTCGTATTTATCCCCAATAATGCCGCATAACAAACAACTGCAAAACTCAGTGATTTTTCAGCACAAATTTATTCTTATCCTCAGGGTCCGTAGGTCAAGTGTATTTCAACTAAACCAGGCTTGGTTTGGCTCAGTGGCTCTGCTTCGGGTTTCAGGTCAGCTGGGCTTGGTTTTAGACTGTGGGTTAGGCTCAGGGTTGCCTACTGAGTTCTAGGGCCAAGTGGAATGTTCTTTACTCAAGGAGGATCACTGGAACACAAATCAAACCACTTAAGACCTCTCTTTGCACATGTGCTTGCATTTCATTGGTTAAAGAAAGTCGCAAGTCTAGGTCAAATATTAATTGGGCATGGAAGTTGCCCCCCTCCTCCTCCACCACATAATCAAAGGGTGAGGGCAGTGAATATATTTGCTGAACAATAACCAAACATCATGCTTTTCTGCCAGTGGAGACAGACTAAGCTCCCTGTATTAGTTTTCCATTACTGGTGTAACAAATTATGAAAAACCTAACTAAAATAACACAAAGTTGTTGTCTTACACTTCTGTAGATCAGAAGTCTGACACAGATCTCAATTTGGGTTCCCCATTCTGTTCCATTGGTCTGAGTGTCTGTTTTTATGCCCATACCATACTGTTTTGATTACTATAGCTTTGTAGTGTATTTTGAAGTCACATAGTGTAATGCCTCCAGCTTTGTGGTTCCATATGAATTTTAGGATTGTTTCTTTTATTTCTGTGAAGAATATCATTGGCATTTTTTTTTTCCTTTTTGTCTTTTTTCGTGACCGGCAACGGATCGCAACCCGCAGTGTCACGCCCGTACCGGACCGGGACCGGCCACGGGATCGCAACCCTCGGTGTTGCTCCCGCCCCTCGCTCAGCCAGTGAGTGGCTGGTCTGTATGTGGGATCCGAGCCCTCGGCGGGAGCGCCACCGCGCTTCCCAAGCGGCGCACTATAGCAGTGCGCCACCGGGCCGGCCCATCATTGGCATTTTGATAGAGATTGTGTTGAATTTGTAGATTGCTTTGGGTAGTGTGGTCATTTTGACAATATTAATTCTTTCAGTCCACGAACATGAGATGTCTTTCTATTTTTTTGTGTCTCCTTTAATTTCTTTCATCAGTGTTTTGTAGTTTTCATTATTGAGATCTTTCACCTCCTTGTTTAAATTTACTCCTATGAATCTTATTTTTTATTGTGCTTGTTGTAAATGGGATTGTATTCTTTATTTCTTTTTCAGCTGATTCATTGTTGCTGTATAGAAACACTACTGACTTTTGTATGTTGATTTTGAATCTTGCAGCTTTACTGAATTCATTTCACAGCAGCATGGATGGGCCTGGAAGGCAGTATACAAAGTGAAATAAGTCAGGTACAGAAAGATAAATACTGCATATTCTCACTTACATGTGGGAGCTAAAAAAAAAGTGAATTCATGGAAATAGAGAGTAGAATTGTAGTTACTTGAGGCTGGGAAGGGAAGGGGAGGGAGGATAGAGAGATTAAGCAATACAGAATTACATCTAGATAGAATATGTTCTAGTATTTCATAGTACAGCTAGGTGTCTATAATTAGCATAATTTATTGTGTGTTTTCAAATGGCTAGATGAGAGGAATTCAAATGTTCTCATAACAAAGAAATGATGAGTGTTTATGGTGATGGATATGCAAATTAGCCTGATTTGGTCATCACACAGTGTATACATATATCAAAACATTAGTAAGCAGTTTTCTGTGGTGCCTGCACTTCCACAAGCAATGCATGAGGGTTCCGCTTTCTCTGTGTTCTCAACAACACCTGCCATTTACTGGGGTTTTTTTTGTATGTTTTTTTTTTTTTCTTTTTGTCTTTTTTCATGACCGGCTACGGATCGCAACCCTCAGTGTTGCGCCCGTACTGGACCGGGACCGGCAACGGAATCGCAACCCTTGGTGTTGCGCCCACACCTCGCTCAGCCAGTGAGCGGGAACCGGTCTGTATGTGGGATCCGAACCCTCGGCGGGAGTGCCACCACGCTCCCAAGCGCGCGCTGTAGCAGTGCGCCACCGGGCCGGCCCTTGTATGTTTGTTTTTAAGTCACCATCTGTATTAGTCCATTTCTGTTGCTTATAACAAAATACCCAGAACTGGGAACCTTGTAGGAAAATGAAATTTATTGTTCACAGTTTCAGAGTCTGCGACGTCCACAGTCCAGGGAGCATTTATGGTAAGGGTCTTCTTTGATGGTGGCTTTACAGCAATGCAGGGGTCTCACATGACAGAAAGTGGCAGAGAAGAGAGAGAAAGAAACTCACGTGCTCTCCTTTTAAACCCTCAGAGCCATATTCCTGACCACCATTATTCATGTATTTGCTATGGGATGGTCGTACAATTTAATCACCCATTCAAGGCCCCACCTTGCAATTACCATAATAGAATTTCCCACCCTCAACAGTTACAGTGGGAATTAAGCTTCTAATATATGAACTCT